TGGCAGGCGTTATGATAAGTATCATTAACCCTTTAGTTGACTTCAGGCTTCACAGAAAGGAAGATAAACAGTAAAGTGGCAAAACGTCGAGAGGGGGATAGAATAATGATTCACAGACGTAAAAGAGACAGACAGACACAAAGGTAGAAAAAGGTGAGGTGAGTACTGTGTAAATAGTCGAATATGAAATGCAGTGGGGACTTGGTAGTTTGAAGTCAGAAGTCAACTGCCGAATAATAGACTTTTTTGCCGTATGAGTATACGTTGCCCAGGGTGCACCACGTGGAGGTAAGTCTATCGCACACCCCAAGCTCAAGGAGTATAAAAACCTATCCGATTACACCTTATGGTAAAAAACTCTTATCGCTCCATTTATCAAGAACAAATAAGTTCGATTTTGATTTCGTCTCAAACCCATAATATAATGTGCCGCTGAAAATTAAGGATAATATTATCAAAAATTCTTTATCATATGTAGGGCAGTTTTCTCCATTTAGATCTATCGCTGATTATCTCTTGAAACTTAAAAAGAGAGATGAGTGTCGAATCCGCAAACCGATGCCTTGCATTAAAGAAACTAGCGTCTTTTTCATTTATTATTAATTTAACGCACCTAATTCTCCTATCTTTATTGTTCCACAACCCTTCAACCCATTTTATTGATTCATATTCAATTTATTATATGTGTTAGAAGCGTACTAAATAGTTTACACATTCAGACAAATTCGGTTACAAGATCTCACTGCTTACACATGGTGATATTTTTTGTGAATATTTAATTGCAAGCAAATACAAATTATTTGGCTGTTTGTGATTGCTTTAGCTATATTTTACCTTTTTTTCTTATTAGAAGGATTTAAGTCAAAATCCATGGAATGGAGGGAAATGGGGATGATATTATAGCAAGGGGTTATTTTATCACAGGCCTGCCACTGATTCTTGGAGTAATTGGGAGTTTATTGAAAAATGTCTAGCTATTAAAGTATTAGGACATTAAGAAATAGCTACACTTGTCTATCACCGACTTAAGTGTCATCGGGAGTGCGACTGAAAGATCATAACAATTTATGGCACTATAGGTAAAAAATCAGAAATCTAAGTAGGATTCAAAAATTACCTTACTCTTGAAATAATTAAACCGAAGTAGGATAAATTAAACTAAAGGATTAAATAAAATTTTATATAAATTAACAGAGCTAAAATATTTAAATGGAATACTTTTGTTGAGACTATCTCAAATTTCTTGCTTTTGGCGATAACATTATCAATCACTTACATTAGGGCTCAAACAGAAGGAATATCATTTTCCTTTATTACAATTTTCATGATTTCGATTATCTCTATTAAAAACGATGCTCCAAAGTGGAATTTAATAACAGTAGCAACTTTTCAAGTTTAGCACACAAGAATTTTTTATTGTGCGTCATGCCTGATTTTGCATTTTTATATGGGACATTTTATGAAATAGATATCAAAATAAATCTCTGTAATTGATTCGGTATATTTTTTTATTTTAGAACTCTATTAGAGCCTATATTTAATTTAGTTAACTGTTGATCGAAGTAGGTACTGATTATTGTAATCTTTCGATTACGATAAACACTTTATTTCATATAAAACTTTATGAAAACACCTTTCAGATAACACTCAAGAATGAAAAAACGATATATTATATCGATAGCTCATATTAGTGTAAAACACATTTTTTTCGTTTAGATACTTACATTTGCACTAATAAATTATTATTCGAATATCTTGATGTGTATATTTCCAGTCAATAAAAATTCATGAGTTCTATCAAATGGCACTTTCCTCGGATTGATCGCTATCAATATAAGCATATCATTTTTTAAGAAAGTAGTTTTAGAATAATGTGTTTAAGTTAGTTTCACAGTTCGCAAGTTTTGAGTCTGATAACCTTGGTCAAGGTTGTTGTGTAGGCTTTAGTTATGCACTAGAGGTTTTTTCGTATCTGACTTAGGGAATATTTATTGTCAACTCATTCTCCATTCTACATTCATTGTAAATTCCATACATATATTAGAATGTCTCCAGCATTGCGCGATCCCGTTAGGACTTTATCCCGCTCGTCTTTAAGGTACTCTGTCCCCTTTATTTCTTCACATTTCAGGCTTATTCCAAACAAGGTAACAGCCATTCTCTGTGATGTCGATCGTCAATCAATTGCAAGAAGCGAAGCAGTAATTTGTATTTTTTCCTTTATAGTTTTTAGAGCTTGGATGGTAGTTTGGCATCTCTTGCCCGGACCCCTAGTCATGATAGTAACCTTTGTGGCGACACACCGAATTCTTCCCCTGGAAATGAACCCTCACCTCCAAAGCGTCTTTCAGTTGCTGCGTCCATAGCCTCCTCGGCAACTGATCACTCACAGGTTTTCGCAAAATTTTGTCAGTGGTCGGGATGTGATTGTACCGCAGATATAGCATCCGGAAGCCTCCTTTCACACATTCAAGAGACTCATGTCTCTCCTCAGATCGATTCTAAATCTTCCACTTTCGTCTGTCTTTGGAAGGGGTGCAAAGTTTTTGGGCAACATAGTGTCTCCTCTAATTGGCTCGTTCGCCATGTACAGGAGCACTCGGAAGCTAAGGGCAAACCTTTTTCCTGTATGTTTAGTGACTGCTGCCAACGATTTTCCTCTTCAAGTCTCTTACAGCGACATATTGATCGCTATCATACACGATCCAAAGTTCCAAAATCCGCTTTTACTAAATCTCCTACTCAATCTCGGTCCCTAAGTAGTCGCAAATCCCCCGAGGGATATAAAAAACGAAGGAGGAACGTTTATAAAAGTAATCAAAATATTCGTAAATGTCCAGGTAACTACGGGTTGTCTTGGGTCTATAAAATCCTTTCAGTTTGGATTATTTTCACCGTCTAACTTATTTATTCTTTCAGTTCGACATCCCGATTATGTTGATAATCTAACAAAGATAGCCCTTCAAAACCGCCTTTACTTGGATGAACTTCTTTCTAGAAAGGTTGTGATTGAGAAGATAACTCGAGATTTTGATGGTGATGATGAATCCATTCTCCCCTGTACCCTTCGAAATGGAAAACGACTGGATCAAACCCCTCCGGAGAAACGTAATTTGCGGTCCAAGTCTTTGTCTACTACTCCGGATGATGATTATCAAATGTCGGATAAAATTAACCCCGAACACGTTAGGCTCCTTATAACTAACCCTTACATCGTGAGTTAAATTGCCTCTTTCAAAAAAGATAATGTTGCAAAATAATTAACTGATGAAAAGATTTATATCTGTTATAATTTTTAAGTGACTCTTTACTGCTTGAAATGATTCAGCGTATTCAAAGTTCACTAACAATGCAGTTTGTTTGAAAGTGCTTTCCATACCAGTTGTTCTCGATATCAGTCTTTAAATGTGGCGGTTAAGACGAGGTCTGGAAATAAAACAACTTTTGAGTGGTGCTTTGGGTTAGTTGTGTGTAATAGAAGAGTACTATCTAAAAGAGCATCTATTTGGACTAAGTACTCAAGTCTCTCCAAATTTGCCGGTGACCTCTAACATTAAGTACGATTTCTGCTATGCGTCGTTTCTTATACATAACTGGGGAAAAAATTAGGAGACAACATTAGAATTGATCTTTTGAGTGATGTTCTGTTGTGAAAATCATACTCTAAATGTTTTATCCATCGTTCCCGTTTTGTTTTTCTGTATTTAGAGTTCCATTTTAAGTCTTCACTGTGCTCGAAAACGTATATCTGAACTCAAGTTCATTAGGCACCGATTAACTCATTTACTCTTCGCAGTTTAGTTGGTACTAAACGGGCCTTGTTAGCCCTGTCCCTAGGCAATTTAAGTTCCCTATGTCACACGAATTGCATTTGCTTGAAGGTAAATGCTGATCTAATCTCATTCCACTATCATTTAATTGCAGTGGTTGTATCAGACACTTGCAGTGGCTGCTAGTGGTTGTATTTCACATCGTCGTATAGGTATTCTCGAAAGCAGCGAGAAGTTGGCTTGTCTTGCATCCGTCATTTAGGCTTTGTGATTCATTGTGAAGCATGTACAACTCTTTCGTAATGCTTTGGTAGTTTGGTTTTAATTTGTCATAATATTTATCGAGTCGTTTTTTCTCCTCCTCATCTTTAGAATCTAACCGAGCCAGCTTACTTTTTGCTGTATTTGACATAGTATTTTATAACTTTTATTTCAGTTTCATCTGTAGTACTTTGTTACATCCACATAGTAGAACATGCTTGGTTGTTAGATTCATTTCGATGTTTTTTAGTCTATGCCAATCATAGTTTCTATAGTCACACTAAGTGTAAGCGCTTAGCTTTTCAAAGGTGCTATGTGTAATGTTTCTCCAATTTGTTAACTTAAGGTAAAGAAACTGGCTGCATTTATTATGAATTTTTCAGTAATACGGCCTGAATGTTGTGGGTTTTAACTCCGAAGGAAATCAACTTTAAGAGCGTCTTAGTATTATAACTTTTCAGGTTAGCGATGATCTGTCCTCTTGCTAATTGCCTGAGACTGATAAACCCCCGCAACTCTCGTTTCTAGTTCTTTCATCATATTAACGTTCGACGTTTGAACTTAACTCCCAGAAGTATTGTAGGTGAGGTTATAATGATCACCCACTTTCCATTTTCCCGCTGAAAGTGAATAGATGTCAACTGTTTTGTAAATGTTGCCCTTATTTGAAAGGCATTATAGTATATATAGAACGGCAGAATAAGTCAACTAATGAATGTTAATCCAAGACTCTATTTCACACTTATTGGTTGTTTCCATATTGATTTCAATCCCACTTTAACATTTTCCATCGGGGGGCACCTTAACGATGGTTTTTTTCGCAGTGTTCAAGCTGTTTGTCTATTAGATGGGGTTGAGGTCAGCATCATTTGTTCTTCTTTACTGGTTGTTTCATCTCATGAAATTTGCTTTAAAAAGGAGAAGTTTTGAAAAAGCAAAACAGCCTTCTCGATCGTCCCGTTTCGGCATAACGCTATCTTAACCTTTATTCTGCCATTCACCTGCCTTTTAAAGCCTGCCTATCTTGTGATAGGTATGGTGTTACGGAAGCCCTTCCAAACAGGCATTTTCGTGGTATTTCGCCGTAATGCGGTTATTTTCTGCATTGCTTGTCTAGCCGGATGCGAACGTCGTCATGACATCTTTTTCGCTTAAGCACCAAACCGTAATTTTTTTGTACGTCACTATCTCAAGTCACCTTCAAACTTGATTTACAGATTGCCTAAGACAGAGTAGCAATTTTTTTATTTTTCCCACGAGACTTCAATGTGTGGTATCCTGTGTAACGTGTTGGTTGGGAGCCACGCACGAAAGACCTCGAAAACCTCAGAGCATGTTTTGCTAGATAAGGTCGTATAGTATTGTGCCATTACAACAATTTAAATATGCAAGTGGAATACAGCTGAGGACAGGAGAAGGGTAATTGTTCTCGAGTCTCCGTGTTTCATTGCCGCCATCTAAGTTTGTAGATATCTGCCTTTCCAGGTGTGCACTTTCTGCTGTCTAATGAACTATAATTTTCTTACAGAAGGCTTATTTATAAGAGCAAATATTAGTGCTAGCGTATAAATGCCAACATCACCCACAACTAGTCCGACAGAAGTCTAAAAACTAGGTCCTTGGATTTCATTAGCTTCTGTGCAATAGCCATTCACCTTACCCTTCCATTTCCATCTTCAGTGCAAGGAAATGGTGCTATGGCATGGCAATGCTGTTTTCTGGGTTGGGCTCAAGTAATGTTGACCAACAGATATACTACTTAGGGAAGAAAGTAAAATATAACAATGGTATTATCTAGCCAACTTTTTGGAAATCTTAATAGAGTAGACTTGAGAATCACAATCGTATTAAAAATTTTGCTTTTATAGGCCGTTTTTATTGTTCACAGTTCTCTCTCACAAACTTGGTGCCTCTCGAAACTGCTTCCCTTCGGCCACATTTATAAAACACCACATTTTCCCATTACATTATAATCTATCTTCAACTCTCTCCCTCTCTTTCAGTTTGTTGGCCAAAGGCTAAACGCGAACAGTAGGACTGAAATCCTTGTTGCGTGGCGGGGACATCTAAGTAATGAGTAAGTCTGCCTTTGCTGTCTTTTGGCAATTCGGTTTGCTAATTTATGTTTTTGTTTTTTGTTGTAACGCGTCCCTCCCCGGCTCCCTTCCTACTGTTGACCAATTTCACTCGGTCCTATTCATTTTAATTTAATTGACTCGCGTTTTTTTGTCTCCTATTGTCGTGTGGTCTCAACACCGTCGGACATTTCAAGACCATTCCTAGATTCTCACATTCGATACAAACAGTTTTTGGTTGCTGTTCATTTTGGATCACATTCGTGTAATTACCCAAAGCAAAAGAGGGTGAATTTAGTCGTGTTAAAAAAACCTCAAAACATTTCAATAAAAGGTGTGCGAATTGGGGTGGGGGGGGGATATCCATTGAAATGTTTGCAGCCCTAACCATAATGCCTCAATACCCTGTTTTTTGAGTGAGTCGGTATCAGAACTTGCTGATTAGTTGATGTTGTCATCTTTGATTCGTTCACGCCTTTTTTTATGGTCAAAATCTAGTTGATAGTGACATTTGCTCTACCAAAGGACCTTGCTCAGTCCAATCGAAGTTAAGTGCTATCAAAAAATTCAAACAATCTGAATTTTCGAATACACTTCAATAAACTTAATGCCAGTTTTTTGTTTTATTCCTACGTTTGGTTGAATAACTATGCGTGTGAATTTAGATTTCTTGAATTTGACTTAATTTCTCGCCATTTCACAGCGATATTTCCTCTGTACGTGGTCACTTGTATTGAAATTTGTAGTATGATACGATTCAGGTGACTGTTGGGGTGGTAGTTGAGGCTCCAGAAGCGTTCTTCGTTACTTGACAATTCGTCCCTCGTTATAAAGTCATGCTTAATGAATTAGAAAATTCAGAAATTTCCCAAGTGGGTTTATGCGTTTAACTGAAGCCCCTCTATAAACATTCCTTTTCTTCTCTTCTTATCCTCCTTCCCCCCCCCCTCCTC